CTCAAAGACTGTCTTCAAAGTGCTGAAAATACTTCCAGGTTTGTATAGGAAAACATGGGGCGTAGGTGGGGGGTGAAGGTCAAATCACTGGTCATTGTCTTGGAGTCAATCATGTGGGGAGGATCTTGATCTTGCTGGCTCAGGAAAGTCCTTGCGGCTTGAGGGGGTAGTTTTCCTTTCCCCATGGTGGGGGGGGAGGGATGCTTTGCCCTCAGGGTCTTGCTCCTGAGCCTAGAGACAGGCTAGAAAGAAACACCCAACTAGCAAGTTTGAGGTCAAAATGGAGGCAGCTGAAGTCCTTCATCAGCACAGTCCCTGGTACTCAGTAACCACTCAGGACCACCACAGGGCAGCTCAGGAAGACGGGATTTTTTTTCTAACTCACGGAGAAGCATCAGTCAACTCGCCAAGTCCTTTGCCTGCCAGCTTGTATCTGCCCAGAAGAGACTTCTTTTTCTAGTTGGCACAAAGTTAGTACCCCTGCAAATGCCCAGGAAACAGAATTTACCACTGGCACGTTGGTTGCTAGGAAGGATGTAGGTACTGATAAATAGCAGGGAGGGGCATCTAGCTGGCTTAGTTGGTAGAGGATGCCATTTTTGATCCCGGGGTTGTGAGTTCGAGTCCCACTTTGGTTGTATATATACATCTATCTATCTATCTATCTATCTATCTATCTATCTATCTATCTATTAGCAGGAAAAGAAACCTGTCACATGAGCTGAGAAATTTGGGTGCTTCTCTCAGGGTTGAGAGAGGACAATATGGTCAGTCCACCCTAATCTCTGTCAAATGCTTTTTCTACCTGTGAGTAGCTGGAGTTTCTGGAGGTCTCTCAAGCCTGAGGGTACAAAATGGCGCCCCTAAGAGCCTTCATTCCTTGCAGCCTCTCCATTACCCGGTCCGAACCACACGGGGACTCCTGTCCCCTGGTGGCCAGTGTGGATTCCACACACTCCCAGGAGCTAAATGCTACCTGATGCTGCGGGCTGGGGAGCAGTACCAGGTACCAGGTAAGGTCAACCACAGACAAATCATATCTGGAAAGCCCGCTTGCATGGGAAGGCACCGTTAGTTCCTGTCTTACGCGTGTATACTTGTAGTAATCTGTCCCAAATCATGGGAACTGACGCTTGAGGAAAAAAAAGCAGATCAAACGCACTATACTATTTTCAGATTCCGTTTTCTTAAAATCCTGTACAAATCTGCCAGGGTTCTTTGTGTTTTCCCTTCAGAGCTGAGTGTTCCGTCTGTTGTCCTTCTGCGGGCACATCACATACCGGATCTGTTTCTCCACATCCTGAGTCGCCAGAGACTTCATCATGTTTGTTTTAGAGGGCCGAAGCCAGAAGCGAAAATGCCCACTTAAAACGACTTTTTAAGGGGGCCCTGGGTGGCTCAGTCAGTTGAGCATCTGACTTCTGTTCAGGTCGTGATCTCAAGGTTGGTGAGTCCGAGCCCAGCGTGGAGCCAGCTTTGGATCCTCTTTCTCCCTCTCTCTGCCCCTCCCTGCTCACACTCTCCGTCTTTCTCCAAAACGAATAAACATTTAAAACTTAATAATTAATTAATTAAAAAATAAAATTATGGTGAAATATAAAGAGCTTATCATTTTAGCCATTTTTAAGTGTACCGTTCCATGGCATTAAGTACATTCCCACTGTTGTGAAACCATCACCACCACCCATCTCCAGAACTTTTTTCATCTTCCCCAACTGAAACTCTGTCCCCACTAAACTCATTTCCTAGTGGCCACCATTCTGCTTTCTGACTCTATGAATCTGACCAGCCGAGGCCCGCACACGCCCACTTTTGATTCTTACGGATGTGCTTTTGTATTGTGAATCTGCTGTCATATACCCACGACGTGAAAATTATGAGTCCTTTACTTTGTATTTTTGCTTGTGCTTTAAAAATCTTGTGGCACCTGGGTGGCTCAGTCGGTTAAGTGTCCGACTTCAGCTCAGGTCATGATCTCGCAGTTTAGAGTTCGAGCCCCGACTCAGGCTCTGTGCTGACAGCTCGGAGCCTGGAGCCTGCTTCCGATTCTGTGTCTCCCTCTATCTCTGCTTTTCCCCCACTCACAGTCTGTCTCTGTCTCTCAAAAATGAATAAGCGTTAAAGAAAATAAAAATCTAGTAAGACTTTTTTTATTGTGGTAAAATGTGCATACGATTTAGCATTCTAACTCTTTTTTTTTTTTTTCAAGGTTTACTTTTGAGAAAGAGTGCAAGCAGGGAAAGAGCAGAGAGAGTGGGGGACAGAGGGTCCAAAGGGGGCCCTGCACTGACGGCAACAAGCCCGATGCAGGGCTCGAACTCATGAACCATGAGATCATGACCTTGAGCCATAACCAAGAGTCAGATGCTTAACCAACTGAGTCACCCAGGTCCTTCTCTTTTTTCATTTCCAATGTATAAATGTACACTTTGTTTTCTTTTTGTTTTTCTTTATCAGGCTTGATAAACTTTGGTGAGGTGTTTATCTTATTGACACCCAGATAATAATAATAATAATAATAACAACAACAATAATAAAGATACACATGTACACATATTCTGGCAAAATTCCTGAACCTCATGGGTAACAGGAGAACTGTGCAAGTTTTCACACTGAAGGAAGAGGCTATTTTTAAAAAGGAAAGCAAATAAATCTAGCATGAGAATTCTCATTTGCTGCACTGGAAACAAGAAGATGGGGGAAGAATATCTACAAACAGAAAAGAAGCTGTAACTAAGAGCCGAGAATCTTATTCCCAGACAAAATGCCATTCATCTTTTGGGGCAGAAGAAAGATAATAGTGGATGCTCAAGGGCTCGATATATTGCCCCTGGATGTGGGCTGAGGAAAATCCTTAAAGTTCTCAAATAGGTTGATAATTATATTAGAAAAGAGATCTCAATATTGGGTAGATGAAGAAAGAGTACAGTACTTGTGAATAATTAATTTTGTACTGGATATAGTTATATCTTTTCCTTTTTTCACTACTTTTCTTTATTTTTTCATTTTCTTTTTTTTTCAGTATATGAAATTTATTGTCAAATTGGTTTCCATACAACACCCAGTGCTCATCCCAAAAGGTGCCCTCCTCAATACCCATCAC